CCCTGGCAGATCTGCCTGGCTATAAACTTCGGCATGCCAGCCTTGCCTGCCTGGTTGCCAGGGTGTGTGTACCACTAAACCCTGACACCTTCTGACTTTGAGATGTAAACTACACTCATTTTACGGATTAGGAAACTGAGGCTCAGAGAAGTTAGGAAACTAAGCTCCCCAGAAGTAAAGTCTGCATGGGTCTACAGCGGCATACTCACAGAAACCTGAGTCGTATGTGCCTGTCCTGTGAGTGTCTACCCACAAACTTACCACACGGTGTGTGTGTGTGTGTGTGTGTGTGTGTGTGTGTGAGTAAAGTCTGCATGGGTCTACAGCGGCATACTCACAGAAACCTGAGTCGTATGTGCCTGTCCTGTGAGTGTCTACCCACAAACTTACCACACGGTGTGTGTGTGTGTGTGTGTGTGTGTGTGTGTGTGTGTGCTTGTGTGCCACTGATGCTCCCTCCTTGGTGCTGAGCTCTCCTAGACTCCCCTTGAGACCACGAGAACAGTGATGAATTAATCTCATCACTTTATCAAGGAGGCACTTACAGAAATTATAAAGCAAGTCCACCAGCCTGGCTTTGCTGGCAGCCAGCCGCCAGACCCATAAAACAAATTGAAAGGAACAAAATAAGTGAAATTAGACCATGGCCCTACACACACGTGCGTGCAGGCACACACACACCCTGAAAGGTCAAGAGCACTTCTCCACATTTTCTGTTAGCACTTGTTACAGGAAGAAAGCAGGGCCAAATCCACTCGTGCTCCTACCCGCCCCCGCCCCGCCCATCTGAGCAACAACCTGTGGCCTACCCTCACTCGAGGGGTGGCAGGCTGTGGCCTGCACATGTGCCTCAAACGTCGCAGGTTGCTGCACTGAGCTGGATGCAGGCTGCCTGGGTTCAGTTCCCAAGCTGCTTCTAGTGGGATTTTGCTCTCCATTCTCATCTCTTCTCCCCTCTGTTTTTTGAGACAGTCTTGATATATCCTATCCTGGAATTTGTGATCCGATCCTCTTGCCTTAGCCTCCTGACTGTTGGATTACAGTCATGTGCACTGCTACCTGGCTGTCGGCTGTAAGATGGAGTTTTTCTCTTTTTTAAAGTTAATTTTTTTTTCTTTGAATTTTTGTTTTTCTGAAATGGGGTTTCACTATGTAGCCCTGGCTGGCCTAGAACTCACAGAACTCTGCATGCCTCTGCCTCTCCAGTGCTAGCGTTAAAGGTGTGTGCCACCATGCCGGCTTTCCATCATTTAAAACAAATTGTTCAAAGATTTAGTATATGTTGAGCAGGCCTGCAGGGACATCACCATGAGTCTTTGCCTGTGTTAGCGGTTGGCGTGTCTAGCATGTCTTGAGAGTCTGCTGTGTGCTGGGTATTTGGACTACTGAGAGGAGACTTGTTGGAGGAAATAAATAGGACATGAGCAATGGGGGCAGCAGGGTTTGTCAGCAGAGAAGCAACACCCCCCCCAGGTCGGGCGGGGGGTTGGTGGGTAACTATGCTGGATGCTGGGAATTGGGAACAACTCTAAGCTGCAGATGGTGAGGGGCCTTGGGGAGGCAGGGGGTATTTCACAGAGCCCTCTGAGCAGCACACACATGGATGCAGCACACACATGGATGCATTAGCTGAGTTTTTTTGTTTCTTTTGTTTTTCGTTTCTCTTTACATTACTGTGCTTAGCCAGGTGTCGTGGTTCACATCTGTAATCCCAGCACTGAGAAGGCTGATGCAGGGAGGTTACTGAATATGAAGCCAGTCTGGGCTGCAAAGTGACACCCTGTCTCAGAAAGCAAAACAATAAATACTTTTTAAAAATCATGCTTATGGGGCTGGAGAGATGGCTCTCAGCGGTTAAGAGCACTGACTGCTCTTCCAGAAGACCCAGGTTGGATTCTCAGCACCCATATGGCGGCTAACAACCACCTGTAACTCCAGTTCCAGGGGATCTGATGCTGCCTTCTGACTCCTCGGGCAATGCATGACACAGGTGCACTTACACACATACCGACAATACACTCATATACATAAAATAAAAATAATAAATAAAATTTTTTTAAAAATCATGCTTATGTGTTCCTTCAGAACACATTTTCTGTGGTAGCCCAGGGCTCATACTTTACACTAGGAAGTCTAATACTGTTTGCATATCCCACACAGGGAGGGTGTGCATAGGTGCCCTGGGACATTCTCCCCACCTCCTAGGCTACCTTAGCTGCTTGGTTAGTAACAGGCTTGTCTTTGGGGTGGGCACTTTCTGATTTCCTTGAGGTGCAGGGGACGGGGCACACTGGCTCTTAACTCACTTTAGTTTGGGGAGTTTCCATTTCTTGGTCTGTCAATTGGGCACTGATATGCCAACTCAAGGGTGTGGTAAGGAGAGGGAGCTGCTGGGAGTGGTGGTACATGCCTTTAATCTCAGCACGGGAGGCAGAGGCTGGGATCTCTGTCAGTTCATGGTCAGCTGGGGTTACAGGGAGACTCTGTCTCAAAAGACCAAAATGATGATTGATAGATAGATAGATAGGTAGATAGATAGATGATAATTGATAGATAGATAGATAGATAGATAGATGATAGATAGACCAAAATAAATAAATAAATAAATAAATAAATAAATAAATAAATAAATAAATGAGCTGATGCAGAGGCTGCACATAGTAGGTGTATAGTAAATCCTGGCTGTTATTACTGTGAGGTGGATAGATGTAGAGCAGGGGCAGGCCTCCATCTTTTCCTCGGTCTGGGATGGGATGAGGATCTGGTGACAACTCCTTTTGCTTTCCTCTTTAACACCAGATTTGTAGGTATACAGCCCACCCTCATTAAAGAGGTGTTAATATAGGGTGGACTCCACCCCCATGTCAGCCTGTGCTGACCAGACCATAAGCTCCTCAGGAAGAGGCACTGCCTTTCAAGCATTTAAAGTCAATGTGGCCCCCAAAAGACCTTCGAGTCAAATTACAGAAGCACTGTGTGATGTGGGAAATTACTGGTGCCTTCTTCACAAAACGGCTGCTCTTGAGACAGGATTCAGTGGGTAGTTCCTGGGCTGCTGCTCTCCCTTGCTCTCTGGAGCTTGGTGAGCTCTTCCTTCATGGGACACAGGTCTCCTGAGAATGGGGGTTGAGTTCCTGATAGCCATATTATATAACCCATTTAAGGAGGGACCTTAAAACTCACAAATTCCCTCCTTCACCGTGAAGCTGGGCTTATAAAACAGCCACCTCATGGTCACTCATACTTTGAGGTGGAGTTTTGCTTTGTTTTAATATTTTGAGACAGTCTGGACATGTAGCCTAGGTTAGCCTCAAACCATTGAGCATCCTGCTTCCACCTCCCAGGTACTGGAATTTAATGCGTCACCATATTTGGGCTGCAATTCTTTTTCGTTGTTTGCTGCTTTTTTTGTTAGTGGGTTTTATAAAAATTATTTACGCATTTTTAGGCTTTTTTTTATTATTTGTTTGTCTTTTTGAGACAGGGTCTCCCTTTAGCTCCAGCTGGCCTGGAACTCGCTATGTAGACCAGACTGGCCTTGAACTCACAGAGATCCTCCTGCCTCTGCTTCCCGAGTGCTGGGGTTAAAGGTGTGGGCCACCACTCCTGGCTTGTATTTTTAGTTTTTTGAGACATACTGGCTGGCCTGAAATACTCACTATGTAAACCAGGCTAACTTCAAACTCATAGAGATTGACCTGCCTCTGTTTCCCTAGTACCAGAGGCATTTTTTTGGTCGTTTTTGTTGTTGTGGTGGTGGTGGTGGGTTTTTGATTTTGTTTTTTGTTTGTTTTGGTTTTATTTTTGAAACAAGGTCTTCCAGTAGCCCCAGCTGACCTGGAACTTTCTAGGGAGACCAGGTGGGCTTTGATTTCACAGAGATCTGCTTGTCTTTGCCTCCTGAATGCTAGGATTAAAGGTGTGTACCACCATAACTGACTCCATTTTTTAAAAATTTATTTT